GTCTGACAATATTTACATGACCGCTTTCTATCTGGGACGCAACGCAATGCCCGAATTCCCGAAGACGGAAGAAACTCATGGCAAGTGAAAAAGCTCGAAAAGGAAATTCAATTGCGGCCTTCCAAGAAGCCAGAGATGAAGTTAGGAGGTAATCTAGCACCGGGTTCCTCTTCTGGCCGGAAGTATTTCATCACATGCGAAAGCTGCTTCCAGTAGTTGAGGGTTTCCTGGAGAAATACCATCAGTATAGGTCCGAAGACGGCTATTTCGAGACATAGGATCACGCCACGGAGAATATCTCGTTCGTCTGGACTGACCTGGTATTCGGCATGGCTCTGGAACAGCAGAACATCAACAACACCCAGCTGCTGGACGTAGCGGTGCTTCTCAAACTCTTGGCGAATCTTCGTTCGGATTGCGGATATGGGCATGTTCAAGGAGTACATGGTCTGAATCTCGGGTGACTATTCTCCTCGACGTTGCTCTATGTTAGTCCTTTCTTGCTTGCAGAGAAACATTCGCCAATGCTCAGAGCTTTCAGCAGCTCAATGAACGGAAATCCAAGGGCCAAATCAGAGTATGTATAGCTGCGGAATGGGCGAACTGACCGCTCTGAGCCATGCTCTGTAGGACCGGATGACGCGAGACTTTGCATCAGCCCAATTTGCGGCTATTATGAACATGTACGTTAGCATTTGACCAAGTTCATCCACTGACATTGCGGCAATTTGTAAGGTCATCACCGGACCGTCTCGGGATCTCGTGTGCGGGAAGGGCTGCACATACAGGAGCGCGTGCGCTGCGCGAGGTAAGTGGGATTGATGGTCATATTGGATGTGGCCGGTGATCCTGGCCTAGACACAGCAAGCTGGGGGAGGGACAGGTGCGCTGAAAGTCGACGTTCCTTTTCGGGCTCAAGTTAGCGTGACGATGGATGGGTTGGAAGTGGAGGTTTGGGATCCTCGCCAGTTGGACCTACCGCCTTCCTTTTGCGAAAAATTTCGTCCGCAGTTATTTGGAGAGCATCGAGATTTGCTATGGTCGACTCCAGAAATTAATCTCCATATGCGCATTGTTGCCCATTTTATCGGTGCGAGTAACTGTGAAAGCTGTCTGATACGATCCTGGTCTACTCGTCTTCCTCTCGCTATCAAACTACCTTAAGCGCAAAGACTCCCGCAAACTCGATTCCCTCTGCACCAAACCCACGGGCGAGGCACGATCTCGATAGATAACAGATATGGCGCCGAATAAGCCTTCAGTCAAAGGCAAGTCATCCTCCAAGGGTGATTCAGGAAAGGGCAAGCCTCTCTCATCCGCATCGAAAGTGAGCAAGAAAAATGCGAAGCGCCCGCCACCCAAGGAAGTGAAGTCGAAGGCGCGTACCGAGTCATCACTATTGAAGAAGACGAAGAAGAGGGAATATACAGAAGAAGAACTTGGCCTCCCGAAGCTGAATATGATCACACCTGTCGGAGTAGTGAAGCCAAAGGGCAAGAAGAAGGGGAAGGTCTTTGTTGATGATCAGGTGCGTATGCCCATTCTCCAATCTCTGTCTCCCGCTTTGGCTGAAGATCGCTGACACCTGCTCTATGTATAGGAGGGAATGATGACTATCCTTGCCATGGTCAATGCCGAACAAGAGGGCCACATTGAGTCCAAGCTGCAGAAGGCGCGTCAATTAGAGGAGATTCGCGAAGCCAAGAGAAAGGAAGCAGAAGCGAGACATGCGGAAAAGAAGAACAAGTTGGTATGTGTCGATATTATATGCATTATCGTTTCCATACACAAAATCCCGATTGGACTTGCTCTGCATGGAGGCATTGACTAACGGGAACATCTGGATATAGGAAGAAGTGAAACAATCAATTCGCCAGAAGCGGAAGCGCAAGAGCAGTGGCAATGAAGACTCCAAACCTGATGCTTCTACACCCAAATCAGATTCAAAGTCAAAAGGAAAGAGAAAGAGTGTTTCTTTTGTTTGAGCGTTCTATGTACAAAAGTTTATTCTATCTATACCAATTTTATGTATCTAGATGGGTTTATTTGGCGTTTCCGCAGGTCTATGTATTACCCGAAAGTGACATGAATGGGCACTCATGACTTCATGTACCAGCCTTCCCAACCAGGCCGGAAGTGTGTATTTATGTTCCCCTTATTGCACCATCTTCATGGCCAATTTGCGCCGCATAGGATCAAAGTCCGGTTTGGGCGCCGTGTCTGGATCTTTGCTCAGATCAAAGTGGTTCGCAATATGACCAGGAAGCTTCTCAGGATGCTCAACTATGAATGGCGTCCCGAGGTCAATCTCCTTGGCCATGGCGTTCAGGAAGTTTGCCACCTGTCTCAAAAGTCAATAAAAGATTCTGGCGTCTGTAGCAAGATACACACCGGTTTCACAAACCACCTATCTCCACCAAGTTCAAACCAACCGAGGTGACCGCCCCAGGACGTAGTCAACATGACACCATAAGGTGTTTGCGTCATTTCTTGAAAAGGAAGCGCATCGACCGAAGCGACCTACAAAGTGATTAATTCGACGTTAAACCCTAGAATTAATTGCGGAACCCACCGGATCATCCTCAGCCTGCACCGTGAAAAATGGGATTCGAATGGCAAGCATGGAATCGATGGATGCTGCGTCTCGATAGTATGCACCTTCCGTAGGGTATCCCCAGGTTGCGCATTGCAGTGCCCTAACGGAATGATCAATAACTGAATGACGACAAAAGTGTTTTGAGAGAATGCACGAAGTCTTACCGATCAAATTCATGCAAGTATCTGGACTTCCTGACTGCCTCCACATCCACTCGCGGATTCTTTGACACTTCTTCAACATGTCTGATATAGACCAGTCAGCCTGGATAACAAGATAGCTAGCTATTGACAGCGCTGAACTCACTGTTCAAAGAGTCGCTTCATGCTTGAGCCCATCGTCTTACTGTACACCTCAAGTCCGAGCCACGTCTTTTGGAGGTTTGTCGAGCTGACGTCTAAATTCCAGGGGCTTGCACAGAGCACCGCCGCTTTCAGCTGACACGCATCACCTTCTTCACCGAGGTACTGAGCACAAAAGGGTTAATTCACTCTCAATTCGCGAACGGAGAGCAACTTACATTGGCAAGGATATTCGCGCCGAGGGAGAACCCAATTCCGAACAGAGGCCGATTTGGAAACGCCTTGCGGAGCCATTTTACGGTTTGACGAACATCCCACGTGGCCCGGGCATTGTAGAGCACACCGGTAGTAATTTTGGTTTGAGCGCAGCCTCTGGAATTGACCACACATGCTCCCCAATTTCCATCCGCAATGAGTGGCGCGAGTACATGGCGCAGATAGATCTCGTGTGAGCCGCCGCTCAAACCATGGAGAAGCACAAGCATGGGCTTCGTATCGTCTGAAGGCAGAGCTTGGAACTCCTCTTCTGAGAAGAAACACGTCCGTTCCGGAAGACCTGAAGGTAGAGTGTATCTCCTCGCTTCATCAGTAGCTTCGACGTTGTCCTTGGGCGTTTCGTACGGCTCAACGACAAAATCCACTGCAAAGTGCCCTTTATACATCGAACTGTCGGCCTCAAACATCCTACGCTTGTAATACACAGGAACATCGTCAAATTTGACGGTAGTCCAGGCAGTCTGTAAATGCCCATTAAAAAGGAATGGATTCAGATGGCATCTCGCCGGGGTCGCAGCGCGACAGACATCCGCCAGCGCAACCTGCTGCTTGACACCGGATTCGCCAGGCTTCTTGGTCAGGAGGAGTTTGTTATCCTTGGAATGGAAAAAAGAAAGGCGTGCACTTGGTCGAATCCATGACAACATGCTTGTTACGAGCAGCAGCCCAGAGATAACCAACGGAAGTAAATAGGCGTTTAGGATACTTTGAATGACAAGTCAGTCATAGAAACAGCGGGCAGCCTAGAGATCTGAAATGAAAGGGAGCAATGATTGACTGACCCGTCTGAATACATCAACAATCTGATCTATAAGCAGAGTTTTGCTATGACAATAGTAACTACAAAAGTTAAGAAATAGGAGACAGAATCAAGAGACAGAAAACAGACCTACATTACCACTCTCCACCACCCCTTCTGCATGTATAGGATTTTTTTCCCTCCTTCTGCCTCGGCATCACTACTATATCGGGAAGGCATGACATAAGCATCGTTTATCTGATCAATGACTCAGCAATCACATGCTTGCTCCCAATGTTTGTTCTGTTTGTTTGCCCTTGCATCATGAGACACAGAGAAACCCTATGATCAGAAGCTAGCAGTCAGTTGATAACACAATATGGCCAGTTACATCGAACTCTTTCCCTCCTCTTCTTATCAGGACGGACCGTGGCTTTTTTAAAGCCAAATAACACGCGTTGGAAGTGTTGAATATTTTGAGAAGAAAGATGCAGACATCTACGAGACTTAAGAGTGCTCAATGCGGCTGCCAGGGACCCGAAAGCGGAAAGTCAGCTCAAAACGCGGCGAGATGTCATCCTGCAAATCCCCTTCAGAATGGAAATCTGGTTTCTAAATTTACTTTAACAGATTATTTAGAACTTATGTATGCTTGCAGCATTTTTCTGTTGATGAGTTGAAGCAGCCGTCCTTTGGGTTGGTCGGACAGTGACCCTGCATCGGAATCCCTAGCCTTGTATGTAATCCTGATAGCATCTGCTACACTGTGATCATAGCGCGTGCTCCGTTTGCGTGCAACTTCCAGCTGTCGTGGGGGACTACTTCAAGGTCAACAGATCCTCCGTATCTTAGTCTTCCTTTTTGACGGCTCTTTGTCACGCGATGCGCTTTTTGTGTCTTTCATATAACTATACACTATGATACCTGAGAGCCAGCAGCCAACTAGCTGGTTCTTACCATATCCATGACTTACTGTCAATCTTCAACGAAGATTTTCGGAGTAAAGGACAAGAAACGCTGGAGACAAAGCGCCAAGTTGCTGGTTTCTAGTCTAGCCCGCATCGAAAGCACGCGGCTTTCAGTCAACATGGTGTATCCTTTCCGCAGGGCTGGAGAAAAGCTGAAGACTGTTGCGAAGATGGATACGTGGGTGCGAGGTCAATCCGAAGAGAGGACCACAGCGACGAACCCTTCGACCCGGTGCTATCTCCTTGAACTGCCCACAGAGCTGCTGCTAGAGATCATCTCGCATCTATCTATAGTACCTGAAACATGCCTGGCTCTGACCTGTAAACGATTGTTTGCGATATCCGGAGCCATTTTCAGATCCGTAAGGTACAGAAACCGCCTCAACAGCTTTGCCTAGGCATTGAAGTCCACGTCGCTAATTTGGACCCTTCAGGTTCAGCCAGGATTTTGCACCTCTATTCCACCATTACCGAAACGGACACAACTTCGTCACCACACGATGGCAACTCATCAACATACTAGAGAACAGCAGGTGGTGGGCCTGCTCGAAATGCTTGAAGCTCCATCCGCGAGATGCCTTCTCCTCTCGCGAACTCAGGCGCAAACCGGAGGAACGAGCATGTATGTTGGGTAACTTTGCGGGCATAGTCGACTTGTGTCCTTGCAAGAAATTGACGTTTCGAGATAAGATGGATCTTGTTGAACTTTTGAAAGTGCGACAGCGGTCAGTTGCCGCCTTACAGTCTCAGTTCGGCGCCGGCATTCAACAGCGGTTCTGCTGGCATTCTTGCTCCAAGGACTATGGCCCTACGCAGCTGCACATTGAGATCTTCCCAGAGCTGAACGATCAAGATCAGTTGAGAATCAAGACCGAATACAGATTGACAACGGAATCCGGGAAGCTAGGGAAGGAAGAATACATAACGCCCCGGTTCGGATGTGCTCATCGATCAGTCGACCTGTGGCTTTCCAGTGTATGCCAGACGACTATTTGCCAAAGCTTCGACAGCATCTGCGCGTCATGCAAGCGGATATCAATTTGCAATTCTTGCAACTCAGTGCTCAAGTGTCCTCGGAGGCAACCTTCCCATGTTAACCAGGACTCAGGCAGGGCAACTTACCATTTCTGGACCGAAAGATGCCTTGGTGGGACGACATCAACGCCCGATCAGACGTGGGCTTCTCAACGTATACATCCCGCTGAGAATTCGGTTGAAGTCGACAATTGCAGCGAGCTGTGCCCTTGGACTGTCCGGGAGCATCCTCCTTCTACCGGCCCACCTGCTTTGGGAATGGATATACTTGGTCCCGCAGTCCAAGATCAGTCGATGAGTCAGCTTTACACAACAATAAACCTGATTTAAAACCGGGGAGACTCTCTGAGCCTTCGGTACTTCCAGCTCGACCATTAGGTGGGAGGCACAGCGTTATGATGGACATGCATTCGTACTTGGTTTTTCATTTGCCATTGTGTATTATGCTTCCCATTTCCCGATGACTTCTTGTGGATTTGGTTCCCTTCTCTTTTTCGTCTGTTTGGTCAGGTACCTTTGCTTCTCATAGAGTATACCCTCATATAGTAGATCAAGTCATTTCCTTGCAATGCATCTCTGTACCATCTGCCGTGATGTCTGTCTACCGCAGACTCCGTAATAATCTTTATAAAATAGAAGCACCTTGCGAAAAACGTCGATGGTTTCAGCACGAGCGTCTTTCTGTTTGGCTGTCGATTATACGAAGTCATACGTAGGTGAATCAGGTGGTCTGACCGCCCTGGAGTTTCTCCGAACCGAAACGGAAAAGGCGCGTATCACGATGAAAGGTATCTGGTTCGATAACATCTTCATCCTCAAATCCGAAATCTATCATCCTGGATAGCAGAGTGTTGCGATTCCATGACAGTTATCTGCGTTCGGGGGCGATGAACTACCCACCATCTCATAACGGTCAATATCCTCCGCAGTATTTGCAACAACCACAGCAGCTACTGTATAGCAATGCCGACTCAAGCGCTTCGCCATATGAGTATGGCAAGCCTGTCGCTTACCCTCAGACTATAATTTCGCCATATTCGTCCTACGGACAAGCATATAATATAGAGCAGCATCAACACCAACAGCAGCAGCCGCAGCAGCAGCAGCCACAACAGCAATATGTGAACCCATCTGACGTGTTCCAGCAACCGCTTATTCCTCCTGCCTCGTCATCTCATCTTGCCCATGGCTCAACCCAATATGGTGCCCAACCCATGGTTTCTGTTGCAGGCAACAGCAACCGTTCCCCAGCCGTCGCAACCGCCTCAACATCCGCGCAATCAACACAATCGGCATATCAGACAGCCCCCACTCCAAATCTGGGGAATAATGTCTTCAACCAATACCCCCAGTTTGCTCTTCCAGCGCCTTCGGTTCCAAGTTCGAATTCAGTAGCCGCCGCTCCTTCTGTGCCATCTCCGAAACCTACGCCTCTTCCGTCATCATCGAAACCTGCGACTCCTGTTCCATCCTCGAGAGCAGCTCCTCCCGTTCCGTCAGCATCGAAACCCGCGCCTCCTGTACAGTCTAAGAAACCTCTTCCTCAAGTCCTGGTCCCGGCTCCTTCACCGGAAGTCCAACAGAAAATGCAGCGCCAGGGCCCTAAAAAACAAGTGCAACGACAGAACGCTCAGCAACCCGTGCAAAAGCCAACCAAGCCCCCTATAGATTATCAAGTCCTCTTGTTGAGCTTGGCAGATGAGTATTTAAAGGCAGCTTATGGTCACGGAACCATGGTCGCTTTATCAAGGCGGGAGATTGAAATTGAGGAATATTACAAGCTCGTTGCAACAGGTCTTGGTTGCCTGGAGGCAGTATTAAAGGTTTGCATGGCCGCTGACCCGATTACAGAGATTGCTTTGTCAGTAACTGTCGAGCATTCATGCTAATTTCAGTTTACGCTTTAGAATTGGAGGCTACAGCCGCGAATGGAAGCGCTTGTAAGGTTGCGATATGCGCGCATACTGTTTGAGGAGACGGAGAATGATCTTGAGGCGGAAACAGCCCTGAGCAAAGGGGTAAGGGGTTCCAGCGCACAGTCGTTCATTTAACCAGCAGTCTACTGACATCCTTGCTTCGACAGATTGATTTATGTGAGCGAGTGAGTTGGCGTCCCTCGGCTATGCACTGCCATTCCCCGTGGAACAAACCATCGGATTACTTACGGTATTGCAGAATCGCATGTTAGATCTCAAATATAGTATGCAGCATCTTCTGGCGCGGATGCTACACAAGACCAACCCGAAAGCCTCATTGAAGGCTGTCGATGGTATGATACTGGATGTTGAAGCGTAAGTTGTAGCATTGCATTCCACACTGCTTGCCTCTAACAGTCGCAGATATCGCCATTCAGCTTGGGAGTATGCTTTTCGCTTTCTTCGGGTGTCACTTTCGTTATCAACACCGGCACATCAGGATTCCGTCTCTGCGCTGCAACATTTACATAAGATCTCGAATATGGCTAACCGACAAGGTGACAAAGCTGTTGCGGCCATCTCGGCCGTGATTGAAGCACTTGCTCATTTGCAACATGGAACGAGCTCCGATGCAGTCGAACAGGCTCAGCGTGCGGTTGCAGTAGCAAGAAGCCATCAACTCAACGATGAGCTCCGTCATATACCGCAGCTCTCGACTCTGGTGCAAATGGTTGATATTTGTTGCAGTCTCCTTGAATACGACGTCAACCAGTCGTCTCAGAAATTGAAGGTCATGCAAGATTTGATGGACGAAAGATTGAATGATCCGAATTGGCGCGCTGATGGCTCTTTCTCAATTCCCTTGAGCGGAAAATCAGCTGGACCCTCCTCCATTGATACGGGCGATATCCTTCAGGTTCAAAATGGGACGCTCCTATTGAGTTTCAATTGGCTTCCCCAGCACGATCTCTATGCGCTTTGCTATTTCCTTAGCTCGATCACACTCAGCGCAAAGAACTCTTATGATGGTCGTAAGGCTGAGAAATTTCTCCAGGAAGGGATACGAATGGTTAAAGGTATGACCTATTTCCGTCCTAGGTTTCCAAACATTTCTAACGGGAGTCCGCAGGGAGCTTCAAAGCACCGCAAGAAATTGCAGAGTCAATGATTAGTGCGAATAGACGCGTTGATTGGCGACGGATCTTGTATTGCAATCTTCTTCTGCATCAGGTTTTTCTTGCCTGTGGTCGTACAGACTGGGATCTGGCGAATCAGACACTAAAGGAGCTGCGCCCCATTGCAGAGGAACTCGGGGATCAGCTCCCTGACACCATTCAGCGCTTGATGGAGTATGCAACAGGGGCACTTGCGCAGGCGACTGGTGATCTGGAAGCTGCCCTTTCCATCTTCCAGTCCCCTCTTCTCTCACTATCGTCAATCACCAGCAAGACAGCACGAAATGATCCTCGTCGCGACATCGCTATCCTTGCCGCCTTAAATGCGATTCTCATACTCCGTGACCCCAATCATCCGTCTCACTCCAATCTTCCCAGCGCTTTGGCCCTTGTTGAGTCATTCTGTAAGGGTAGCCCGAACAAGTATATCCAGGCGGCCTATTACCTTGTATGTGCGACGGTGCAAACAGAGTCAACCATTCAGACCAAGCAGTATCTTCAGCAGGCTCTTCAATCTGCCACGGCAATAAGCAACAGTCAAATCACCTGCATGACCTTGACGTTCATGAGCTGGAAGTATTTCCGCGGCGTGGTTGGGGAGCAAGCTGAAAAGAGCGCTCGCGCAGGCCGGGCAATGGCAAAGAAGGCCAATGACCGACTTTGGGTCAGCGTCACTGATGAAATGCTGGCAGAGACCTTGGAAAGGCAAGGGAAAAGTGAAGAGGCAGAGGGAGTCCGCGACGAGGGCCACCGCGTGATGACCGGATTGCCGCCAGCGCTGAAACGGCCTGTGTGATTCCACGTTCTTCTCTCCATATATTCGTTCTTACTTCTTTTCATTTTCGCTTCGACGGTTCTGTCCAAGGCAATTTTGCTAGCCTTCTGTTCTGTGATACCACTTCATGGCCAATTGCGATGATCTTTGCGTACATGGGACATGGCTGGCGCATCTGGGATACATAAATGGGAGCTCGTCTATTGATACAATTGTTGCTACAGCATCTGCTATATGAACATGGAGGCCTGCTGAATCGCAGGTATCTCCTTCCGACACATGATGAAATCGAACAGAATTTGTTCAGAAACGCTCAACCGCATAATCCTAGTAAGTCTCCAGATATTGATAAATTGCGATTTCCTTGACGGAATTGAAGTGCACACAAGTTGGATGCGCCAAATACGTCGCATCCACTATTCAACCTTGCTGGCAAGGTAATTACTTAATATACATGCATTGAACTCGCGAAGGCTCTTTGGCCAAGGCACAAACAATCTCAATGTAACGGCCGACACGAACCGGATAGAAATCCATTTCCTGAATATGACTCCACAACTCTCCATACGCCTGCAACTTGTACACCACCCAGAGCCAGGTTGAATCGCACAATGACATAGCACTAAAAAGCCTCGAATGAGAATTGAACATCACGGAACAAGTCGACTTTCTGCGTGCAATAATAGATATTGGTACCGTCGCTTGCGTCCGATTCCTCGTATGAGAGATATTCTTCCTTTTGTTGACTGATATTTCTTTTCTCACAAAACACCATTATGTTGCAATCTGGAAGCTCAAATCAACCCAGACCACCCCAAGCACCGCGTATTCTTCGGGCGAGCTGAATATCTTTCTGCATAATCGTTACACGCTTAGCATGCAAAGCGCAGAGGTTGGTATCCTCGAAAAGATGGACGAGGAACGCTTCTGCGGCCTCCTGTAGCGCCTGAATTGCGTGTGACTGCCATCGTAACTCCGCGCCTACTTCAGCGGGGAGAAGTTCCAATGCGACCTCGCGTACGAGTCGCGAAAACGGTAGCTTCTGAATAAGGAGGTCATATGAGCGCTGGTATTTGCGGATCTCTTTCAATGCGACGGTTCCCGGCTTGTACCGGTGTCGGCGACCTTGAGGGGTTGGGTCCCCAGCTAGTACGATATTAGCGATAATGCTGTTGCATAGGATTTGATATGTCTGC